CCTCTTTTCATGAGGAAAGGAAGACATTTTTTTTGCATATGATGCTTGGATGTCATCTACAATTCTAAATTTGTGGGTCATGACCTTTTACGTATGATTGCTTCTTAACTTTTGTTTTTTTCCTTACTTTGAACTTAGCATTGGTCATTTCAGTTGGTTGATCTGTGCAAAAACGAAACAAACCCTGCAACTATCATCTCTTTTTTCTTTCTTAATCTTGTTCTTTTTTTCCTTTTCTTGTGAAAAGAGGGTGTATCTAGTTAAATTCATGCAGTCTGTGAACGGGTGAAAATAGCTTGTCAGAGCAGTTGTCATGAAAATATTTGTAGAAAAGACAGAGGGAAGCCATGTCATGTCAGTAAACTTTGAATCCAAAAAGACTAGTTTTCTTTTACTTTAGTCCAAGATCATGATAGGATGCTAAAATTAGCACTCCTTGCAGTAGTCTTAGTTGACATAAACTATACATATCACTCACTCTCTAATTCAACAGCAGAGTAAGTTCAAGTAAGAGAGAGAGAAAGACAGACAAAGGAGAGAGAGAGAGTGGGGGAGAGAGTGAGGGAGAGAAAGATGATAAAGAAAAATGAGGGAGTAGACAAAGATAGGATAAAGGAAAATGAAGAAGACAGAAAAAGGGAAAAAGAAAGATGAAGAAAAGAAGTCAATGAAAATAAAACCTAGAAGATGGAAACTGTTGTAACCTAGGGAAGGTTACTAAGTAGAATAATCAAATGAAGGTTGGTAATGAATGATAATACTTAGGACAAGAACAACACATATAAGATTCACCAGTGGCATGTAGAAGTAGTAAACTGCTAGAAGTGAGTCAAGTGAATTCCACAGTAAATCTCCAATTGTAGGATATCTACCAACTGCTCCACTCAGTCAGATGTGGTACAAGGCTGAATTTAATGTGGGGTATCTGAGCTTGTAGGCTCAGCCAAAAATTCCCTGTAGACCCTGTAAAAAAGGGGTCAGGTAGCTGTTTCCTGAGACGAGACTCTGCCCTTTGACATAGCCTCATCTGGGGATCCTCTCTGCCCAGAGGTAGAGAGTTTGACCAGCACAGCTGGAGACGAATTTTCAACTGCAGACCAACATACAGTATTTACTACTGTATTTATGTGAGTGGAGACATAGCCATTATCGTCTGTAAGTCTGCTATAACAGAAATGAAAAAAGAAAATGGAAAAGAAAAGTGAAATTGAATGAAAATCAAGAGAATAAAGGGATAAATAATGGGTGGGAAGGAAAAGAGTTGTAGAAGGAGGAAGAAAATAAAGAATGAAGAGGAGGAGGAGGAGAGTTAAATAGAAAAGGTGTTACAAAAAAGGTGGTAGAGAAGTAGGAGAAGAAAGAAATGATAAAGAAAGAGAGAGAAGAAAAAAGTAGATAAGAGGAAGAAAGAGAAGAAAAATAATAGAAAATATAAGGAAAGAAAAAGAAAGAGAAAAGAGAAAAAAGAAGAAAAGTGAAAAAAGAGAAAAGGAAGAGTAAAAATAAGGATGAAAAAGAAAAGAGAAAAAGAATGAAAAAGAGTAAAAGAAAAGAAAGGAAAAAATTGAGAAAATAAAGAAAAGTGAAAAAAGAGATGGAAGAGAAAAAAGAAGTAAAGAGAAAGAGGAATGAGAAGGAAGAGAAAAAAGAGAAAAAAGAAAGCAAGTGAAAGACAGAGAAAAGAGAAGGAAGAGAAAAAAAAGAAAAGAGCAGAAAAGAGAGAGAAAGAGGAAAGAGAAAGAAAAGAAAAAGAAGAAAAGAAAGGAAAGGAATGAGAAAAAGAAAAAGTGAAAGAAAGAAAAGGAAGAGAAAAAGAAGAAAAGAGAAAGAAAGAGTAAAAGAAGAAAAGAAAATGAAAGAGAAAAGAAAAGCAAGAGAAAAAAAAGAAAAGAAAGAGAAATGTTCACAAATGATATACTAAATATTGAAAGTGAACTAAAAAATATGACAGATTATTTCTGTTACCCTTTTACTTCAATTTGTTTACTAGAAGAGAAATCGGCTTTTTTGTGTTAATTAAATTTCATTTATTCTTTGTTTTTTTTTAATTTCTCAATTAAAAAAAAATAATTTCTTTCCCATTAATCTTTGGAAGTTTAATTTCCTTTCATTGTTTTTAAATATTGAATCTAATACATCAAGTATCTTCTTTCTTTCTATCTCTTTTTATATTGATCATTTTTTCCTTCTTTATTTCTTTTTTTGTTTTTTTCTGCTTTAATTGAAACAATTTACATTTTTCCCTCTGACTCTTTTACATTTTAACATTTAATAGGAGTATTTTATTCTTTTTTAATATGACCTTTCTTTCTTTCTTTTTTTCTTTCTTTGCCCTTTTCCATTCTTTTTCATTTATTTATCCTCTTTATTCCTTTATTTCTTTCTTTGTTCTTTTTCTTGTTTATTTATCCTTTCTATATTTTCTTCCTTTATTTTCTTTGTTGTTTTCTTTTCTTTCATTTATTTATCCTCTTTCTTTCTTTCTTTCTTTCTTTCTTTTCTTTTCTTTTTCATTTATTTATCTTTTCTTTATTTTCTTTCTTTGTTTTTTTGCCCTTTCTTATTCTTTTTCATTTATTTGTCTTTCTTTCTTTCTTTCTTTTTCATTTATTTATTCTCTTTATTTATTGCTTTCTTTGCTTTTTTTCCTTTTTCATTTATTTATCCTTTCCATATTTTCTTTCTTTATTTTCTTTGTCCTTTTCCTTTCTTTCATTTATTTATCCTCTTTCTTTCCCCTTTTCCTTTCTTTTTCGTTTATTTATCTTTTCTTTATTTCCTTCCTTTTCTTTCATTCTTTCTTTCTTTATTTTCTTTCTTTGCCCTTTTCCATTCTTTTTCATTTATTTGTCTTTCTTCTTTCTTTCTTTCTTTGCCTTTCTCTTTCTTTTTAAGTTATTTATTCTCTTTCTTTCTTCCCTTCATTTTTTCTTTCTTATTTACTTATTTAACATTTTCAGAACAGATGTTTTCTTTTTATCACTTGCCAGAAATCCATAATTGATACAGCCGTAAAACCAAATTTCTGTCAAAAGAGTAAAGCGTCTTTTGTTGGATTTCAATTCACAAAATTTATTTAAAAAAAGATCACTCTTTATTTTTATTTCATCTTTTTTCTTTCTCATTCTTTTTCATCCTTTCAGCCAATTTCTTTTTAAAATGCTCCTTTCTCTTTCAGATATTTTACAACAAATCAATGGAGAATATCCACATGTGTGCATGTACGTGTGTGTTGCTTCTTTTTTTTGGTTTTCTTTTATTATTCAACTTTTAACAATGAAGCCATTCTTTGCAGCATCATTCTAGGTTTTACTACAAGAAGCCAGCTTACTATGAGAATCCGCAAATCTTTCAAGTCACCAGTGAAAAACATTCTGAACAAAAACAGACATTGATGAACTCAACCAATTCCCCCCCAAAATGTCTTTGATGAAGAATTTATGGATTTGGATCCTCTGGATAATCTCTACCGGTATGTTTCAGTAAATTGTAAATATATACGTGTGCTTTGTAATTCTAATATAGGTAAATAGTTATTTATACATAGATCTTATTTGTATGTATTATATTTTAGAAGTATTATATATCTAATAATTATTTGCTGTGAGTATTAGTCATTACATATATTACAACTAATGATACTGTTTTACTTTATTGTCAATGCATTTCTATAGTAAAATAATTTTTATTGCATTTCTATAGTAAAATAATTTTTATTGCATTTCTATAGTAAAACATTAACAATGCATTTATATTATATACATAATACCTCTATTCTATCAGTAATGTATGTATATATTCCTAACAAACAACAACTCTTTACACTATTGTCAACAACTCTTGTGGTAATAAAATAAGCACATACCATCTCCCCTCTTGCTTGTAACCATCCACTATAATAAAATAAACGTTTTCAGCACTAAAGCTGAATTAGTCAAATAAAGCTTCTATGCTTCTACTTAGAGTTGTTACATTATTACATTTAAAAGAATTTTATTTTAGAAAAACAAAAACTATTTGTCTTGAGATTTATGTGGAAGCGTTCTTCAAATATAGATTTCAACAATATTTTAGGTTCTTCAAAAAAAATTATTGAAATGCAGTAGAAACATTGGCAAAGTTTAACAAGCATACACAAAAAACAAAAAAACAACTAAAAGTGTGTCAAAAGAAAGCACTTTTCCTTGACACTGCTATTATTGCATACTTCCACAGTTATTAAAAGCCATTTTTAAAATTGTCACAAAATCAAAATGTATGAAATTGGATTTAAACATTTTCTTTTTTTTTTCTCATAAACTGACAACAAAAATAGTAAACACTGTTTATTTATCAGATTGCTTATTTACAAAAATAATTTTATATTTACAAAATTATAGAAATATAAAAAAATTAAAATGGCTGGCAACTTGAAGATGCCCGTCTACTTGGATGGCTAGCCAATCCTTATTACAGATGCTCGCTCAGTTACATTTGTGTTTGTTCAACACCCACATAACCCACCTGTGGTTTATACTGCAACTATGCTGGAGGTATACATAGAAGGTTTTTCTGCCATACACTGTATATTTACCTGTCATGCATATCAATTTCTAATATTGCAATTTGTGGTAATAAAATAAGCACTTTCTATTTCCCTCCCCAATGCATGTAACCATCGACTATAATAAAATAAATGTTTTCGGTGCTAAAGCTGAATGAGCTAAATAAAGCTTTATAAGAGTTGTTGCCATATTACATTTATTTTCAATGCATTTCTATAGTAAAATAATTTCTATTGCATTTCTATAGTAAAATCATTGTCAATGCATTTATATTATACACAACTTCCTCTCCTTTGTAGCTCTTAGTAAGGCTTGTCTTTTCACCATCCCTCACACTCCTTGTTCTCCATTTAAACCAGCTCATTAGGTACGTTACTTAATATTTCCCATTTTCCATCTTGTCCTCAGTATATCTTGTGAGTGTCAAATTCTCCATGCCCCTTTTCCTCATTATAACTCCCTAGAAATTTCAGATATTTCTTTTCAATTATAAGTATAAATGCACTTTTTGTTTTCATTTTCCCTAAGACTTCCTCATTGCACACATGTTCAGTCCATGTGATTCTCAGCATCCTTCTGTAAAACCACATTTCTGTTGCTTCAAGTCTTTTCTTCATCTGTGATGAGATTGTCCAGTATTCACTGATATATAAGAGGACTTATCATTGCCACATAGGCGAACTTATATTACATAATAGTTCTATACTCCTTTCTTTGTTTCTAACAACACTTTTCTGTTTCTTAATACTTTGCTTAACTTTTAGAAGGCATCTTTCACTATCCCAATGAACCTTCTAATTTCAGTGTCACATTTTCCATTCTTTGTTAAAACAGATATTTAAATTTTTGTATTTGCTTGACGATGGTATTTCCAATTTGCATGTTGGGCTGCTCCTTTTGTTGATAACCAGACATTCTATCTTTTTACAATTGGGGTTTAGTCCATTCTTCTTGCTTTCCTTTACTACCATCTGTAGGAGTTCCTGTTGTTTCCTTTCTATGTCTGCTATCAACACTATGTCATCTGCATATCTTATGCTGTTAAGATTGTGACTGCCAATAATAAATCATGGTAGGATTTCTAATTCTCTCAGGATTGCCTCATTTTATAGGTTCAATAATTTTTGTCTTACACCCCCATTCCAGTCATTTCAACATTCAAAATCAATGAATTAAACTAGAACACCAATGAACTTGGTATTATATTGCCTACAGTATCATTCTGCTGAACTGGGATACTCATAGAATTAGCAGTTACTTATCTCTTCAAAATCGTCTGCTTAGCTTGGAATGCTAACAAACTTGGTATTACTTTGATAACAGTATCATCCTGTTTAACAGGGGTGCTCACCTGATTAATTATCCCTTTGAAGATCCCCAATTATAATGAAATGCTAACAAATTTGATATTTCATAGCCTTGAATATCATAAAAATTAACTGAAGTGTTCAAATAATTAGCAGTCAGTTAGCCTTCAAAATCACTAGAGTAAACTGGAATGCTAAATAAAATTGGCATTATGTAGCATTCAGTATGATCCTGCTGACCTGGGGTGCTCACATAATTAGCAGTCAGTTAACCTTCAAAATCACTAGAGTAAACTGGAATGCTAAATAAAATTGGCATTATGTAGCATTCAGTATGATCCTGCTGACCTGGGGTGCACACATAATTAGCAGTCAGTTAACCTTCAAAATCACTAGAGTAAACTGGAATGCTAAATAAAATTGGCATTATGTAGCATTCAGTATGATCCTGCTGACCTGGGGTGCTCACATAATTAGCAGTCAGTAAACCCTTTAAAAACAACGAATTAAGCTGGAATGCTAATGAATTTGGTATTTCATTGCTTGCATTATATTGTAGCTAAAATGGGGTGATTCATTAACTGTGATCTAACACTTCAAAAACCTTTTCTTAGACAAAAATGATAATGAGCTTGATATTACAGGGGTGTTTTAATTGTCACTTAGCCCCTCAAAATTTCCAGTTTAAAATGAATGCTAATGAATTTTGTATTCATCCAGGTAAACTTCATGACTCAGACAAATTAGCAGTCATATAGCTCTTCAGAATAACCCAATTAAACTGGTATGCTAATGAATTTACTGTTACATAGCCTACATTATCATCCAGTTAAATTGAATGACTCATGTAATTGAGTTGTCATATATCCCTTCAAAATGATCCGATTAAACTGGGATGCTAATTAAAATATATGTGCAGATAGACTGACAGATATCAGGCATGAAACAGGGAATCAATGAGCAGAGTTCAAGTTTTAGGCTAGTCTGTTGCATTCACTTTTGCACTAATGCTGTTGGGAAAGGCATGAACTCATCTCTTCTTCTCCCACAGTTATGAGTTAAATAGCAGAGTAGATTAGGCTTTCTAGCCTTGAGTGGTAACCAGTCTTATAGAAGAAAAACTCAATCAGAAAACACTTCACTATCTTTCCCAAGAAATATTGACAGTTCCCAGATAATAAAGAAAAGCAATTTGTGGAGAGCCATGATCAGTGACATCCTGAAGGGCCATGGTATTTATAAAAAAGAATTATTAAAAGATTTTAAGATTCTTCACATAAATCATTGTTGATATAGCCAATAGAGATCTGACAATTTTTAAATTTATAATATACTGTATTAATATCCCTCTCTCCATAAAAAAACAAAACTGTTTTCAGTTAATCCCCTTTTCTGATTGTCATCAGCATGGTTGATGTTAAACACAAGGAGAACAACACTTTGTGACTTCTGGGGCTTGTGTTTTCTGCTAACATGACATGGAATGATTATATTGAATCAATCTCTAAATCTTGTGGGAAAATGAAATAAAACCAATAAATAAAATAATAATAAAGAAATAAAAAAGAAGAAAAATAAATTAATTTTCCCATCATGCAAATTATAAAGAAACCAGAAAAGACTTTTGGTCACATACATGATTTTATGAGTCCACTTCCAGATATGACAGAATCTTTCCCTTTTCCACTTTTCCAATGACAGCATTCAGACACATTTTGGCAGACCTAATAATAAAGTAAATGAATTGGTTGTTCCAACACGGTGCAAAGCTGACTTGAGCTCAACCATTTTAACTATTGTTATCCTAACTTACTTCTGAACTAAAAAGAAAACAGGCATACCCAAGAGATATTGAGAACTTTATTCACTACATTCACTATAAAAAGAATAAATGTCTGTAGTAGAACTGCAAGTTTTTGTATACTCCTATTTTCATTGTTTACATATTGAACATGCACCTTCACCTAAAATACACACAAACACGCAATCTTTTTAACTTCCATAGTCTACTGCTAGGAATGTTGGTTCACTGTGTTGTTCCAGATATTTTTCTTGTCAGAATCCATTTGCACATTTATAAATCTACCATTCATTCAAATATTGAGTACTGCTACCATATCTCATCTGGTGTCTTTAGTATATATCTTGAGATTCTTGACAAAATTCAAAGAAGAGTCTGTAATATATAGTCTGTTCCTAATCTGGCATCTCAACTTCAGTCACATGACTTTCTTCTGTCTTTTTTTACAAATATTTTCATAGCAACTGTTCTGATGGCCTTCCCTGCTTAGTGCCTCGACTGCATGTGCTACTAGATTGGCAATTAGTTCTCACTGTTTTACTGTTGAACTAGCTAGATGTAATCAACTGTTCTATTCTATCAGTTTCTTTTATTTCACATCTATCTATCTATCTATCTATCTCTATTCATATTGATCTATTTATCTATCTCTTTTCATATCTATCTATTTCTGTTCACGTCTATATAACTATCTATTTACCTCTGTTCACATCTTTACATC